GAGAGAGAGAGAGAGAGAGAGAGAGACTATTTAATTTTAATCGTACAGAATACGAATTTTATAAACATTATTTTGGTAGACAAATATGCAACATTAAGATTGCACTAAAAATGATGTATTATGTTGCACAGGTTTATCATTTAAATAGAATAATTAATATTATTAAAAAAATTGTGGAGTACAGATTCACTGGGCATTAAACACAAGAATTAGCTACACTCTTATTTGAGTCTCTTTAAAAATTACAGAGCCCTCTGTTATTTTTAAATTGAATGAAGTCAGTATAAAATAGAATCTTAAGCACCTAGTCTCTTATACGAGAAGAGAAGCATGCGAGAAAATTATACAAACGAAGCTGATATGAAGCTTATAAAAACCAGATAGTATATACATTGAATCGTAACTGATAGGTATTCATATTGTAGTCCTTTTTATTCCGCCATCTTGAATTTGAACTTCAAGAAAGTCACACTTTACACCCACTGATATGTAACGATCCGCATGGTCACATTGCAGCATATACCGAAGCACATTTCTAGAAGTTTCCGTGAGCGTAAGATATCCAGAAAGTTACGTACAGAGTTCCTGCTCTTCTATTCCGTTTCGAAAGGTTATTTATTCTGAAAGTTCGATTTAATACCGAAAAGGGCATTTTATTCGAGCATATGAAGAAAATTTAAGTGTACATTGTGTTCTAATTTCAGAAAAATAATTGTAACAATTTTTTTGACGATTCATCTAGTTTACTGAGAAAATTGTAAAAAATTTCGTGTCTTCGAAAGTGCTAGTAGTGAAACAATTGGAACAGCAGAAATTTCAGTAGCATCCATATTCATTTTTAACAAGATTTCTATATTAATTTGGTAGATATTCTATTATTAATCTGTCTAAATTTATTCATTCGTAAGCAAAGTTGTATTTACTGATTTTAATTATAATTAAAACAATAAGTTTTGCGAACTAATTTGGAATTGTAATTATTAATTGGTAGACACCTGCAGTTATTTTTTTAAATTCGCAAAACTTATTTATATAAAAATTAAAATATATTACTTAGTTCATTTTGATGTAGAGTATTATAACAGTAGTAGTCATTAAATCAAACATAGTTACTATAACAGTCGATTAAAATTTTTCTGGCAATTTAAAGAAATGGCTAAATGGGGAGAAGGAGATCCTCGATGGATAGTTGAGGAAAGACCTGATGCTACAAATGTTAATAATTGGCATTGGTAAGTTTTTTTAATTAGTAATTTGAAAGTGCATATCAATAGATTCTATTAAAATGATTTTAAAAAACTCAATTTCATAAGAATCCATTAATTTAATTACATATTGATACTATACTTAAGAAAATGTTGTTACTTTAATCAATTAATATGGTTTATAATGTATATAATACATGAATCCTTAAAAATAATTAATATACAAGTGATAGATAAAAATTTTTTATTAAATATAAAATAATCAAAAAAAATTTTTAAAATAATCAAATAAATAATAAAATTATAATAGCTTTATAATAGAAAATATTTTAATTATTGGCTTAGATTTTAAGCCATCAAATTTTTCTTAATAGAATATTATTTTGGTATATGTTGATATATAAAAATCTTGTAATTATTACTTGTAGGACTGAAAAAAATGCATGTGCTTGGTCTCAAGAAAAAATTAAAGAACTGTTTAAAGATGTTATTATTGAAAGAGATGGATGTATGTAAAACAATTTATAAACTTCATTTATAATAATAAATCAATTCAAGATTGTTATAAATTTATACAATTTAAAATTCTTGGTTTTTTAAATTATAGTTAAATGTAAAATAATGGAAATTGAGAAATGTGAAGGAGAAGCAGTAGCAAATAATAGGAAAGGAAAATTAATTTTTTTTTATGAATGGAATATTTGTCTCAAATGGGTATCTCTGAATACAGAAACAGAAATTAATGGAAAAATTAATATACCAAACTTGTCAGAAGAAAATGAAATTTCTGAAATAGATGTGTGTAAATTTAAAGTATACTTTTAACTTTAGTTAAACAAATATTTATATTATTTTACATATCTATTCACTTATATTCTAGGTTGAAGTTATACTCAATACAAATACAGATGAAGGGGAAAAATTTAAACATTTTTTATATACAAAAGGTAAAGATATAATTAGAGAAAAGTTAGCAAAATATGTATCAAGTTTAAAAGAAGGTAAATAATTGTTCAATTTAAAAAATGTTATAACTAATGATGTAAAATAATATAGAAATTAATTTTATTACATATAATTATAGAATTTACCAAAGGAATGATCCTTCCTAAAAAAGATGGCATTGAAAATATTTCTAATAAGACAACAAGATTTAATCGAAATGTATGTTAAAATGTTTTATAAACTATTAAATATATTTTGCAATAAATTTTAATTAATTACTCATTTTATAGACCCCCACGAATATAATTATAGAATCATATGATTCGAAAGCTAATAACTACATAGTACAAACAACAACGATAAAACAACAATTAAAATTTATGTGCAGTGGAACAGAATTTTATAAAGTCATGACGATACCAGAGGTTAGTAAATAAACTACTAAATATTTTAACTTTAAAGAAATTTAACAAAATTTTTAAAAACTTGTATAAAATTTTATTATATTATATAATTATTTAATACACAATTTTAAATACAATATAAAATATTGCTTATAGTAAAAGTATATTTTAAATGTCATATTACTGTTATAAAGGTTATATTTTTTATCAATATAAAACAATTTTTATTGCAAAAAAATAATGGTTTTTATCTTTACATTTTATTTATTATAGTTTGTGATGGCTTTTACAAAAGGTCCTGCAAAACTTTTTGCAGAAAAAGGGGGACAGTTCGAATTACTGTGTGGAGTTATTACTGGAGAATTCGTTGATCTTACACCAACAAAAATAGTACAGAAATGGAGATGCAAATCATGGCCAGCAGGTCATTATAGTGAAGTAACTATGGATATAGTTGAAAGACACGACCATACTGAAGTTAATGTAACTCAAACAGCAGTTCCTATAAAGTAATTATTATTTGATTTATATATTTATAAGTAGATAATTGTATCAATATATAATTAATTTATAAACTACTTTACATTTAACCAATGTTTTATTCGTAACTAATATTATTATTAAATTACTATGAATATTCAATTAAAATAAGTAGAAGTTATTTATATATTTATTAGTTCATTACATTATATTTAACAAGAATCAAAAACCAATTTATTAATAGTTGGAAGTTTTAAAATTTTATGCTATTTTACTTTATAATTACTATATTTAAAGTAAATTAAATATGACACTCTGGTTGTATATAATTATATCTGGAATAATTGAAGCAAATATTACCATTAGTTCCATAAAATATTAGATGCTATGATAAGGTACATGGAAATAAAAAAAAAATTTATCCTAATAATAATTATCCGAGATTATATCGAAATACATTTAATTGTATGTTCGTTTTAGTTAAGTTTCCTTATTTCATTTATTCACTTTTAATGTAAATTTCAAGTTAATAAATAACCATTTAAGAGTTCGATATTTATCATACCTTTATTTTATACATTTTGATTCTAATTTTAAATTTAGCCTTTATATTAATGTTTAATTAATGTTTATTATTATTAATTAAATATTAAGTAATAAAGCTATGAATAAAAGATGATTAGGTATACATTTTATAAATTCATCATTAATTATAATTAAAATTTTAAAATATACTGTGATTTTCCTCAAGTAATAACCGAATATTTAATAAAATAATTGATGGTAATTTATTAATTAAAATTTTAAATAAGAAATCGAGTAATTTTCCAATGATCTTCCATTATCAAGAATTTTTATTTCTATATTTCAATTATGAAAAAGCTGTACTTGCAACTAATAAGTTATTCGACACAGAATATATTAATAATTCATAATATATTTAAAAAAGAAATATGATAATAAAGAAAAACTTACCAATAATGACAGAATTTATGGAAATTGAAAATTCTATCTTATACAGTTATTTTTTTTTAGATATAGATTTTCATAATTTAGGATATATAATTAATAATTAATATAGTTTAATAAGAAAATATACGATTAAATATATTAAATATTTCAGTTTTTTATTTATTTATTTAATATATTCAGCTACACTCAGATTTTATCCAGTCAGATTATGATTTTATATTATAAAATATTTGAGTACTGAGAAATGTTATATACACAAATGCATATATCCACTTACTTTTAGTTCTTTTAATAATAAAAATGAAGTTATAAAATTAACAATTAAGCAGTATTACATGTGATGGCAAGTATTTAAAAGATGAAAATATTATTTATTGCAATCGTCGCACAAACAAAGATTCATACAATATAATTTAAATATCACAACTTGCTTAACTTTACACGTTATTTATATCAATTATTATTATAAATATTAATCTTTTCAAAATGTGTTATAAAATTTGTTATAAATATTCAGATTTTCATTTTACAATATTTACAAATATATGATTTATATTTTGTAAATATAATAAATGTCAATAATATAAAATAAAAAGTTAATAATGATAAAATCTATAATTTTA